CTCCCGTATTACAAAATTTTATTTAATAAAATACCATATTTCACGAGCAAACTGGCCTATGGGCCATTCCACCGAGTTATGATATATACAATTTAATATCTGCTGCATCTCCGTCAGCTAGCGCCATTCCCCCATCCTCATCTCTCAACTTGACCCTAAAACAATCCATAAACCGCCCACCGCGGCCTCCTTTCGGATCTCGATTTCGTCCGTCGTCGTTTTTTTCTAATAAATACTCGAAAAAAGGATGAAAACAAGGACCTTAATAGGAAAAACTCGATAATAAATCGAAGGGCATGGAAGAGGGTGATTTTTTCTGGCTTCGGTGGTAGCATTGACGTGGAACTTCGGTGCTGGCATTGATAGGTGCCAAAGGAATTATAGTAGACACAGATATATTGTTTATTTGAATCATACTACCCATTTTTTGTCTGATTTAAGCCTTATGCTAATCAATAAATTGGGTTATTAGTGACGATTAAAATTTACTTTTAACTGAAGTAAACATTCTAATATTTATGTTGTTTCATCCAATTTTATGAAATGTGATGTTACAGGAGGATGCCTAAAATAGCATGGGCACAGAAAAAAAACTAACACCGAAGTATTGCGCGAAATGGGCAAAGAATGCAAAATAATAAAAATAAGAAAGTTACAATATCTGGGACACATAATGAGAGGACAGCGATATGAACTATTAAGGCTGATAACACAGGGAAAGATAAGAGAAGGAAGGAGTAAGGAAGAAGGAGAATGTCATGGTTGAAGAATTTAAGGAACTGGTTTAAACTCAGTTCTATAGAACTCTTTAGAGCAGCAGTAGATAAAGTAAAGATAGTGATGATGATATCCAACCTCCTATTGGGAGACGGCAATTAAAGAAGAAGATCCAGTTTTATCTAATCAACTACTGCTAGCTGAAACGTATTAATAACATTAAACAAAATAAACAGATCTTGAAAAAGTAAACAATGTTGTTTAGAGAAGAACATCAAATATACTCAGTGACATAAGTGTTACACCCAGCTGGAATAATTTCTTGAACCTAATTTTTTGGCAACATAGTAGATTTACATAAAGAATAAAACGATAATGTCGTCAAGAATTTTTATTAACAAGTAATCAAAAATAACTGTTTTTTCTCTTCTAGAGAAGCAATCGGCAACTTTTCTCTGGATTGTACAATGGACGCAGGCGTTCAGTCTAGAGACCAGTTGTTTATTGCGTCTGTAGAATAGAAAAAAAAACAGTTGTAAACGAAAAATGCAAAGAATTTAAGATAAACAAAGCATCTTTAGAAAGTGACATCAAAAACAAAGCCAAAGTTCTTCAAGAACTAGAAAGTAAACAAAAGAAGCTAAAGTTGCTTTAACCCTCGAACGGGCGCACCCGTGTATTTTGTACACGTCCAATAGAAAAAGTCGTCTAAAAATAGAAGTGTCATCAATCTGGCGATATCGTCGCGTCTATTCATCCAGTAGAGATCTGTCGTTCGAATAGTTGAGTAATATTTTTTGTTGCAGCTAAGTTTTGTGAGAATTCTTAGAAATACGAGAGTGTGACGGTTTTGTGTACATAATACAGGGCGCGCCTTCCAGTGTAAGTATTTTATCCATTAATTATTTTACTTTATAAGAAGTTGTAATTCAAAATTATAATCAAATTAACTTTAGTTTTACTTTATTTTAGGTTGAACAAGATATTGTAACATAATTGAGAAAGAATTTAGTTGCATTGTTATATTATTTGTGTGTTACTTTTTTTTATTTTTGCAGGGCTAGAAAGAAGTTTTTAACTGAGGCTGAGTTATATAAAATTCTTAATAAAGACTCAGAAACAGAAACTAGTGAAATAAAATATTCCGATGAATCTGAGACAGATGAAGAAATAATACACCATGATGACCACAATTCTGAATCTGAACAAGAACAGAATGACCACGACAGAGCCAGTAACTTCGAGGATAATACTGCAGTAAGTACGACTGCTTTCGAATATTTTCAAGGTAAAGATAAAAAAAACTGCATGGCGTAAGACTCCGCTGTCGTCGCAATCAAAAATTAAAAAGAAAAATATTATCAAAATACTTCCAGGACCAAAGGCAGTGGCTTCAAAAGTGACCTCGAGGATCTTTCAGCTTTTGAAAAAATTATAGATTCTGATATATTAGAGAACATCGTACAATTTATTAATTTGTACATTGATAGTAAAAAAGAATCTGTTCAATATAAAAGAGAACGAGATATGAAACATACTTCAAAAAGTAAAATAATGGCGTTACTGGGAGTGCTTTACCTCCTAGGCACTAAAAAGGCTAACCATACTAACGCACTTGAACTTTGGACATCTGATGGAGCAGGTATAGAAATTCTTAGAGCTGTAATGAGTTACAAAAGATTTTTATTTTTGTTACGTTCAATGCGCTTTGATGACAAAACCACAAGACATGAACGGAAAATATATGACAAACTTCACCAATTAGAAAAATATTAGACGCATTTGTTAGTAACTGTAAAAATTCCTATAATCTTGGTGAATTTGTTACAATAGACGAAAAACTAGAGGGATTCAGAGGACGTTGTAGTTTCATCCAGTATTTACCAAATAAACCAGCAAAATACGGTATCAAGCTGTTCATTTTGGGCGAAGCACCAACTTACTTTGTTGGAAATTTAGAGGTTTATTGTGGACGGCAACCTGAGGGGCCTTATGCTATATCAAACTCTCCCAGTGATATTGTAGATAGGCTTATTGATTATATAAAAGGTTCAAATCGCAATTTGATAACCGATAATTGGTATACCAGTTATCATTTAGCTATTTCCCTTTTAGAAAATAAAATAACTACAATTGGCACTTTGAGAAAAAACAAAAGGGAAATACCTATTGAATTTTTATCCAAAAACAAAAAGAAGTGGGAACGTCACTCTTTGGATTCCAGAAAAATGTCACTTTGGTTTCATTTGTTCCAAAAAAAAGTAAGTCGGTCATACTTTTATCCACGATGCATGACACTGCCACCGTAGACGTCGAAACTAAAAAACCAGAAGTTGTTCTAGATTATAATGCCAAAAAAGGTGGTGTGGATACTATTGACCAAATGTGTGCATCATATTCTGTAAAAAAGAATAACCAGAAGATGGCCACTAATTATATTTTTTTCTCTAATGGATATGGCGGGTATCAACGCGCAGGTGTTGTTTTGTGCCAATAAAACAAATCCCAAAATATGCCGCCGAATATTTCTAAAGAATTTAAGCTTGAGTTTAATGAAAATACATCTTTCAGAAAGAGCGAGAATTCGATATCTTCCTCAGGATATTCAAGGTTTTCTAATGAAATATAAATCATGTGAAGAACCTACTAGAACAGAAGTGCAAAGCTCTAGAAAACGTGGATGTTGTGCAATATGTCCAGGCTCAAAAAATTGCAGCACAACAGTTAGATGTAGGCTACGTAGAATATTTGTATGCAAAATGCATTCAGAAACCACAATTACCTGCGTAAAATGTAAGAACAATGAACGCAGCAATCAGAAGAAATCGAGTGAAGTAACCCGTAGGTACATGTTTTATGTTTATTATTATATGTAACAATAAACTATTTTTGTAAATCGTGGTTGTCATTTTGTTAAAACGCAATAAATTTGGTAAAATCAACTAAAATGTGTTTTGTGTACAAAATACACAGCGCGCCTGGTTATGAAACGGTAGTCGGCGCGACCTGATGTAGGGTTAAAAGAACTCTCTCAAGAAAAATTGGAGAGTTCCAAAGTGAAAGAAATATGTTCATTATGCTAAAGTAATCAAAAAATATTAATAATGTGTTTGGAGACACTAGACACATAGAAGCACAGTCTGTATAATACAGTTAATAATCTTTACCGTAAAATATAAACCATTGACGAAGAGTTTCGTAATTAAAAAGAAAAAGCCAGGTAAGATTTGATTTCACGTATAGTGTGTCTATATATACGCTTATACGTATTTCGGCCTAATAGGCCTCTCCGAAAGGCAATTCACAGTAGCTCTGAACGTAAAAATAAATCTCTTCTGTCTTAGGAAGCAAGTCTAACATGCCTTCGAATGGACGCAAATAGCGACATCTGATATTAAATCTGTAAACTAATTTTCGAAACCAAATTTAGATTTTTGCTTCAATCTGTGGCTTCTAAGAATTGCAAAGCAACCAACGTCTATTTTGCCTTATAAAGGTCACTCTTATATTCCAAGCAATAAAAAAGTAAACAATTTGACTAAAGACGCTACTTTAGTGGATCGATAATATAACGGGTTGTACGAGTTTATATTTTTAACAATGCCTCACAATCTTCATTATTCACTACAATTAAAAAAGGCTATTTCTTTCCAAACCTGAACGACATAAAAATCTGCTACTCCGCCCCAGTTATATATTACCCCACCCGAATTCGTTTTCTACCCTTAATTTTGTCAGATTTATATCGAAAGCCGATGGATGCGAGGAAAAAATTGAGAGATTTGAAAGATAACGAGACGATGGGGAATTGAGAACCTAAGAAGGGCCCTACAAGACAGAATGGCAAATTATTTATCAAGATTTGATTCGCAGTGGACTTTTCCTGATAAAAGAGTTTTACTTTAATATGAGCTGCCATAATGAAACAACAAATATCGGTGGTATAAACAAGGGGAAATATTAATGATGGTTTAAAAGAAACATTTGAAAATTTTTAGGAGATTTGTTCAATAAGTATATGGTCTAATGCAGAAATGGCGAAGATCAAAGAAAAGAATGTTGTAACATCATCATTTTAGATGTTATTGGGAAGGTATTTGATCTGTTTTAAGTTAATTCTGTCACTTCGAATTATTTGCCCTATTTATTTTAAGGGTGATAAACGATTCGTAATTGTTTATCAGCCATGGCCATAATTCATTCATAAGACATTCCTGGCTGTGAAGAAGATTTTCTCAGAAACTCAAACAAAATATAATTGTTTCTAGACACAAGGTACTTACTTTTGGATGCCAAATATGGAAAATCCCAGGATCCGTGGCTCGAATGACCTTCATATTACTTCTAACATATTTTCTGTACAACATAACATCCTCACCACCCCATCCGACGATGTCTTCGTCAAAACCACGCACCTTCAAAAAGTCTGACCTGAAAAAAAAAACAGAAATAATTGTAGAATATATATTTTTTAAGTTATAAGGATTTGCCATAAATAGATAAATATACAGAGTGTCCCAAAAGTCTGGAAACGGCCAATTATCACGTAAATTGCTAGTCATAATTGTACAAAATTTGAGGTGCGCCTATTTTGGGATACGGATATTCCATATTTGCAATGTTGCCAGATTTGCCGTTTCAATTATATTGTTAGTAACTTTGGTTTTTCAAATTCATCACCCTGTATATTCAGTCATTATTGGAATCTCCCATTCAATACGAGTTCAACCATATGTAACATTTATAAAGTCTGAAAGGTCTTAAATACATAAAACAGTGCAAAATATATAGATTTTAATAAATGTAAATCAGTGTTAATCAGTATCAAATTGTAACCCAGCTAAGCTGGTCGCTTATTGTTTTAGAGTTTTATCTTTTGCACTTTAGTTATCGTTACATAGCTTAGAGTTAGAAGCTAAACGCTTATTATTTATCAAGTTTAATCATATAAGAAAACGTCCTTAGTTAAAGTGATAATTAGTAGTAACATTTTAATCTATATCAGTGTTAAGTGTTTGTAGTGTGTCGCGGACCAGTATATAGACAGTGATCGGCTATTTCAATAAAGAACTTGCACTAAAACTTTGGCTAGATATTGGGTCTGTTGAATAAAAATAAGTGTTACCTTAAAAGTAGTAACTTTACTACTTAACTAATATAGGAAATCTCTGCTTTAGCTGCTCAAATACTCTTTCAATTCTCACCCTTTCTCTGGAATGAGTGATATTAAAAATTCCTCGCTTCTGTTTTGGGGGTTTTTAAATGGGCATAATAACCATGGAGAAATTCCATATCCACTATCTCCAAGGTGGCAAAAATTACCTTTAAAGCTATGTATAACTTGATAAATCGAACTTTGTTTCCAAATCCTCGAATCGTGAACACTTCCATGCCACTGAGTGTCCACACTTGTAATCACTTCATTTGCATCACACGTTATTTGTACATTTATGCTAGAAAAACCTTTTCTATTAATAAAATCGTCACCCAATTCTGAAGGTTTTTAATTTGAACATGGGTACTATTCAGTGCGCCAATAACGGTAGGTTTTTGGAGTCGATTTGCCCACTTTGTCCTTGTTTTTTCCATACCTTCCAGGTCAGACGGAAACTTTATCCACTGATGTGATTTCTCAAAAATTGTGTAATAATAGCAACATTATTTATGGTTTTACATACAGTCGTATGGTGAACGCCGAAATCTTTAGCAATACCTGGTTGAAATCCAGTATCACTAACGTATCGCAGAAAAATCCCCATCCTTTGTCGAGAGCTAAGGGCACCTCCTCTGGTTTCATCTAGCTGTGGCAAAAAATAATCTGATAGGAAGTCTATACTTTCGCTTTCAAAACGCAAATAGAACCTTAGACTTGCTGGGACTTACGTTTTTTCTTTTCATGAAGTTTACGAACATTGAGTCTAGCCATAATTATAATAATCGAAAAATGTTTAGAACTACCACTCTACTAGTGTAAGTATGCATAAACTACTGGCGTAAGTATTGATTTGAGATTCTTAACAAATATTAAGGTATTACTTACTAATTGTATAATATCCTTTCTTTTATTCAACTAAAAAGAAGTGATAACTGGCAAAACTTTTGTGTAACCTTATACATTCAGTAACTACTTGAAAATAAAAGAGATTACTTATTGCTCTAAGTAAACTCTTTAACATAAAGTAATTACTGTTCTTTTATTCAATTAATATTAAGTAAATACTTAAATACGAGGAAATAAAAGCAAATACTTATTTTTATTCAATAGACACATTAACTTAGTTGCAGTAACATTCAATTATTAAATTACATATTGTTTGAACTGTTTGTGTTCTTATTTTCCAAGCTAGTGGGTGGTCCTTCGAATTGGAAATAATAACAAGACTTACTACGCTCTAAATAGTAGCAATATCGCCATCATAATTTGTTAAACAAATGTCCGTTTAATTCTATCAGTGATTGATTTTACAAACAAAAACAATGTTTCTTGTATGTGATAAAATATTAGAATGAAAAATATTTGTACACCGTTTTTGAATCACGTGTACCAACCGCACGCGGCGTTATTCCCTGCTGTCCATTTTTATTTTTTCCAATCGCTGAATTGTCATAGAAAATGTTTCGGCAGTAAAATGATTCGATCGATGTTGCGTAAACAAAACATTGCAACATTCTCGTTTTGATGGTACAGTTGAGCTTAAAAAACAGTGCGGAATTCACTGAAAGGCTTCGTTTATGTTTGTTTGTTAGTTGTTGTGTGGATTATGGCTGGAAAATTGCGAAGGTAGGGGATGGCTTTTTACGTATTTGCCGAAATGTTAAAGCTGGATGACATTATTAGCTTTGGTGAGGGTTTTGTGTTTCTCTTATTAATGACGCAAAAAAATTGTACCTCGCTTGCTACTTAGTCAGAGGCTTAATATGGTTTTTTTTATTATTTATATAAACATTTTTTTTCTTTATTATTAAGTAATGTAGGGGAAAGGCTGGAACAGTGGGCACTTTTGAAAATTTTGTTGTTGTTTGATAGATACAGACACGCCATCTAGTACAAACGCTAACAATTTTAGTCACAGTAGTCGCTTACTACGCTTAACCCCTGCACCATCGTTTCCAGAACCATTTTGTATACGAGCCTGTTTAGAGCTGTGTTGTGTCGAAGTAGCAGGTAATTTAGTATAGTTTTTAAAACTTGCAGATGATGCAAATTATGATCTATCTTCAAAGTAGTAGATTTTAGGTTATGCCTCCTAGACAATGAGCTTTTGGTACAGTGGTCACACACTTATGCAGGAATAGTGGCCATTGCTTTTGACAGAGAAAAAGTGGTAGTTTTTGTAAAAACAGTGGTCATTCTGCAAAGAATATCAAAAGTAACTTTGTTTCAGATACCAACATGCCACGGAAATTACCCCAAAAAATCCCGTATTGGAAAAACTACAAATGAAAATATGAGAAAAACGATTTATGATGTGTGGGAAAGTAGATTATCGCAAAAAGCTGCTGACTTAAAAAACAAAATTCCACGCACTATGTTTTTTAAATATTTTAAAAATTGAAACGAAATGAAAATATAGATTGGACTTCAGATGTTCTTGAAAGAGCTCCAAGATTGACCCCAAATATTTTTTCTTCAACAGAGGAAAGTAAGTAATTATTTACAAGACGATAACGAAGTTTCATCATGTTCTCCGAAGGGTGCCAGACAACTAGATTATGATTTGACAATAAATTGTTAACAAAAAAAAATACCAACTTCATGGGAAGAAAACAGGATGGCAGGCAAGTTTTGGTTTACAAGTTTTATGAACCGAAATTCAGAATTATCATTACGCTCAGCAGAAGCAACTTCACTAGGTAGGGCAATTGGGTTTAATCAACCAGTCGTTACAAATTTGTTTAGTAATCTTAAGAAAATTTATGAAAAATATGCAATAACACCTAGTCAGGTATACACTGTTGACTACACAGCACTAAGAATTGTGCAATAGCCAAAAAGGGACAGAAACAAGTAGGCCATATGTTTTCAAATGAAAGAGGAACTTTGGTAACCATCTTCAATGTAATAAACGCTATAGGTAATTCAATTCTGTCGTCTTTAGGGTCCCCTGGAAATTTTTTTAAAGATTATATGGTTAAAATCGCACCTTCTGGTACCCAGAGGTGTGCTGCACCATCTGGATGGATGACATCATAAATTAATTGAACAGTGTATAATACATTTTGTCAAACATACTAATCCTACAAAGGAATATCCCATTTTACTAATGAATGACAACCATGAGAGCCATGTTTCTTTTCTTCTTCTTATGGTGCATATCCATACGGATGTTGGACACTAACATGACTATTCTGACTTTGTTGACTGCTGCCCTAAAAAGTCCGGTAGTGGTTAAGTCATTTTCGCAGGTTATGCAGCCAGGATATTCTTCTTTGTCTTAGACTTCTTTTTCAATGCACTTTACCTTGAAGTATGGTCCGAAGTAGGTCATATCGTTGTTCATTGCGCATTATATGGCCTAGGTATTCCAGTTTCGACGGTGGACAAGACGTATTATGGAATGGAGGCCCAGAAAGTATAAAATAAGCCGAGAACGACCACCGACTAGATGGACCGATGATATAGAACGTGTAGCGGGAAACTGGCTACAAGCGGCCCAGTGTAGAGAACACTGGAAAGAACTGGGGATGCCTATGTCCAGCAGTGGACGCGATTGGCTGATTAATGATGATTCCAGTTTACGACAATTTATGGTTACGACTAGTTCGCGCTCTTTACCCATTCTATGTAGTACTTCTTCGTTGGTAACTCTGTCTATCCAGGAAGTCCCAAACATGCATCTACAGCACCATGATTTGTTAGCATCTATTAAGTTTGTAAAAGAAGATAATAAAATCTTGTTGACTTTATCGCCACATACTAGTCATACCCTTCAGCTACTAAATCAAGCTGTATTTGGTCTTCTGAAGAAATATTACTCATATGGTTGTCAAAATTGGTTATTAAAAAATCCTAGAAAGAAGATAATAATTTACCAAAAATTTTGAGCGACGCTTATCCACTTGCTTTTTGTCCCAAAAATGTGCTATCAGCTTTTAAAGCTACTGGAGTATTTCCATCCGATGATAACATTCTTACTGACAATGATTTTATGGCTTTAACCATAAGAAACATGCCAAACCTACATCAAGAAGAACAACAACCAAATAATTCAAATTTTAGCGATATTCCACAAATGAACATTCAGTTCCCTTCAACATCAAGTTGTCCATATAAAATACCAGAAACAAATCAGAAATATCCATCGGAAATAACATCTGAAAAGAAAACTGTTTCTTATGAAGCGATGTCAACTTCCAAGGGTACACCTAAAAATTGATTTATTTCCTCTGTATTACTGCAACCATACCCTGAAGATACCTTATTGCCATTAAAAAAACAAAGGAAAAAGAAGACTATTGAAATTTTAACTAATACATCAATTTATAAAAGAACAGAAGGGGAAACAGCAAAAAGAATATCAAGGCAAAGTATATCGATCGAAGAGAGCTATAGACAACAGTAAAAAGAAAAATTGATAGTTTAAACAAGTCGAAATAGAAGTAATGCAAAGAAAAATAAAAGCCTACACACTAATGACAGTAACAGTGACATTGAATGGTCTTAGGTTATGGATTCCGACGATCTTAGTCTATTTTCAGAAGTAGATGAAACTTTTGACGAAAACATATCCCCACGCATGGTGGAAGTGAATTCATTTGTTCTTGTGAGGTTTGAAATAAAAGAAAATCAAAATTTTATGTTGCAACTAGGTACAGAAGTTTTTTCTTCTGATCAAGAATACAATGTAAATTGTCTAAGGCGTCACGGAATACAGTTTTCATTTTCTACAGTTACAGATTCTGCCACAATTACAGAAGAAGATGTTGAACATATTTAAACCCAACCAAAAAGTGCTGGAGCAACACAACGAACAGCAAATTTGTTTACTTTTAAAGTGGATCCATCATCTTATAATTGTTTGTTAAAGATTCATATTACTTTTCTTTTCTTATAATATTATAACTAAAATATAAGAATTGCAAGTAATGACCAATGTGCCTTACCTTTGTGGCCACTGTACCCTCCAGTTTGGTATAGTGACTACATTTATTTGAAAAAACAAAATTAGTTACTCCTGCATAACGTGTATTTTTTGGGATTAAAGAGTACATTTTTAATTTAGCAAGTGCTTTGGCGTTGTTTGAGTTGATAATGATTAATATGTTATGATTTATATTAAAGTTATCTTGAATTTGCTCAAAAGGTGACCGCTGTATCAGCTTCTCCCCTCCACTAATATTTTATTGCAGTAATCTAATATTTTAGATCTTCGACACACCAGTTCTATCCAAATTTGTTCTGCTGCTGACGATAAACATTTCAGCGATTAATTAAACAAGATAATAATATTACTCTGATTTTATACTATGTATTTTATATTAAAAATGTAGATAATTAAAAAGCAATATCTAAAACACTTACCGATACTGGCACGTCATTCCATATCCAAAGTCCCTCCAAAATCCAGTATCCCTCGAAATCACCAACTGATCGTTTTCTGGAGGAACGTCTCTACCTTGCAGCGTATACACTACGTGGGGATTGTACAAACTAAACACAACCGGGTAGTAGACTTTCTTGCCAGACTGAGTGTTCCACCGACACCTGTCCAGAAACCTGGCACTAAACACTACATCCACATCACACATAAACAAAAGAACGTCTTTGCTTGAGTCTTTGCTCTTTTCCAAGTCCCAAGTGCGTTCGGCTCCGACGCGAAGACCTTTACCTCTGGAGAAGGTTTCATTAAGAGCTAACAGTCTTAAGTTGTTTGGATTTCCTCCACTGTTCTTGGTCATCAATACTCGCGACATGATAGATCTCGCTTCTGAAAGACCTTCTTCTCCGAAATATACTACTGTAAGGTGAACCCTTCGATCATTCTTCAAACCTATCTTGACGAACTTATCCATGAAGCTCTGGAACGTCGCCGTTCTGCCTGATAACGGCAGTATAATGTGAATGAGTTCTTTTTCTTTTGGCCCTGTCAAACCAACGGTATTGATCGTTTGGAGTGGAGCAAACGGTCGCATTATAATAACTTTTGTAAAACCCGACACTTTAGTCCTAAAATACAACTCGTATTGAGTCCCTGTTGTAGGTTCCACCCTGTAGAGGCCTTCCAGGAAATCGTCCAATGTGTACCTTAAAATAAAGATATTTTGATAAATATTTTAAACCGTCTATAATTATAAAAAGAGTACGTGGTAAAGATGTTTAAATTATAAACAAAAGCGATCAAATAAAAAGCACTGCTATGTATGGAATTCCTGGGCAAGAAGTTGATTAAACAACCGAAATAAGAGCTATCCTTTAATGCATCTCTAAATGTTTTTGGATTTTTTCGTATATAGTTAATATCTACATTAAAAAAATGAGTAATAAACAAATATATTAGGTCTAATTTATAGTGAGATTTGAAAGAGAACGAAAAAGCAATTGAAATCAGGATGTAATGGTAATGGTAAACCAAACGAAAGAACGCTCTTAGGAAAACCACCGAAGGCAAGACAGCTGGCTTTTGAAATTGTAAATGAGTTTAAATATTTCCCAGTAAACATGGACCTAACGTATGAAAAACATAATAATAACAAATAGTAGTTAAAAGAGCAGAAGTTTCTGAGTTTATTTTTGAAAGTATCAGATAATAATAGCTTACAAAAACAATATAAATCTGCGTTACAACTTACCTAGACATTTTTTCCGTAACGTTCTTATTTAAAATCTCCAACCCCTTCATTAACGCCTCTAGTAGATCCTTCCTCTTGTATCCTATAGGTTTCTCGACTACTCTTTTACCTAGGCCTAAATCGATTGGGTATACCCTGCTGTAAGTGAAATGATTGAAGGGAATCAGTTCGTATTCGTTGTTGAGTGGCGTTCCACGGAAGATTTCAGCTTGCATAATCTGCTTTCTTATATAATTGGAGCATTCTGCGTTTGTGATTGTGGGGTTGGTGGAAGAATTGAAACTTATGGAAGAACTTGCCTGCCGTGGGGCCTGGAGACTGTTGGTTCCACCTGAAACAAAGTAAGTTTGAAAAAAACAAACTTTTGACAACCAACTGGCCAGTCAATTTGCTTTGAGTTCTCTCTTTACACAAGACATTGTTAGTATTTACATTTAAAACTATTGTATTGTATTTACAGTTAAGACATGGAATGTTAGAAATTTACTTATTAGTTTACTGTGTTTTTGCTGTTTTGTTTTTTGTATTTTTTTTATTTTTTATTTTTTTTAATTTCTTTACTATTTTTTAATTTTCTTTAATTTTTTTTTATTTATTTTTTTTTCTTTATTTTTTTTATTTATTTGTTTATTTCTACGCTAAGACATAAACCCTATTCGACACCTGGGAGGTTTAGATCTTCTTAGTAACTTTTTTTTATTTTCTTTTTTAATTTGTTCTTCATTTTCATTTTATTCTTTATTATTTTTTTATCGTTTTTTTTATCAGAGCATTAATTTTAAGCAATTAATATAATTATAAAAAAATTTTATATACATCTAGATTCTTTGACTCTAAAAGATATGTTAGATTAGAAGGTAATTGAACATTAACTTGAACTAGCTTGGTAAAAATATTTGATATTTCAATAAAACGTAAAGGACATTCTAACAGCACATGTTGTAGATCAGCTAGCTCTCCACATATACATTCATTATTATTTGCCAGTCCCGTTTTTCTTTTGTAGACTGGAGTCATACAATGATTGCTTCTTATTCTATAAATAGTTTTGATGAAGCCTCTGTTGGAAACTTGTTTAAACCATGTCTTGACGAAAATTGTGGGTTGGATTATTTTATAAAAGTTGCCTTTGTCTGAATTGTTGTAGTATCCCTGCCATTTTGTCCGTTTAAGAGACCTGATTACAGATATTAAATTTCCCATAAGAAGTTGATAGGTTTGCAGAGTGGTTTCTTTCATTGTTGCTTTTTTAGCCATATCATCTACGATTTCGTTGTTTTTTATGCCAATATGTGCTTTTATCCAGCACAATATGATATTTTTGCCCGATTCCAAAGCTTCACTGTTAGTGCTATGATGTCACTGATTATATAATATTCTACAAAATTATGTAAATTATATTTCAGTTTATGTACAATGCTTTAGCATTATAATTATTATTGTAAACTAATGTATATTCACATATTGTATTAACTATCACATATGTTACATAATCTAAATACGCTAATGACCCTGTGTGGTTGATGCGTTAATAAAAAAAATAAAAAAAAAATAAAAAAGTTATTATAAATGACTATAATGCGTTTCCTATTTGTACACTGAAATTAAAACCTACAAAAACGAATTTTTTTGGGTAAAACCTCAAAATTTACGATTTCCCGCTAAGCTGCAAAACCAGCACATTTTTCCAAATAACGCGACGGCGGATCTCCAGCTTGGCCTCTGCGGCTAACCTCACGGTCATGTGAACTTTACCTAATGAGCCTGATGGCAGAGAAAAAGAGAGAGAGATGCGAATCGAAGCTCTTCCGCCTTGTTGGCTCTACTAACTTAATTGGATTTAAAAGTCTCGTTCACCCAAACAAGGATAATGAGCTCGACAAAGCTCTGCTTTCCTGTTTGTTTCTCTAAATGCAGCTCCACTTGATCGTAGTTCTCGAAGTTGAAGCATGTCTGCTGCATATACGTCAACGACGAACTATAAACAAAATACTCGAAAGTAGTTATTTATTTAATAATTAATGTGCTTAGAAGTTATTAAAAGTTCTCAGAAGTAACTTTTTGTTCAAATGTTTTCAATATTTAAAAAAGGAATTTCTGGTACAGATATTTATTTCATTCTGAGGAATCTTTATTTCGATTACATATACTTATATATTCAATGATAGGTATTGTCATAATTAATAACTTTAACAAGTTGTTCATGTTCATTTTTTATTGTTTATAATCTGGTGTTTATGCACAAAACCGTCATTTAACAATTCACTGTTCAAGTACACTTTTAAATCACACTTTAATTTTTTTTTATTTAATAATTACAACCGCATCCACTATAATGGTTATTAGCGGCGGCTACAGAATTACAAAATTAGAGTTTATAAAATATTCCTATAAATTTTAAGAAATATACAATATTACCAGCTGAAAAATTAGTGCCTAATAAATTACTTAAACCGTTAGGTATATTAAACGTAACACGAAAATTGGCAAATCTATGGCATTCAATTATTAATGGTTGGCAAAATATGAGAAAAATATCTGGAAAAAAATGTTCAAACAAAATACCTTTCCTAGCAAAAGATAACCAAATTATAACCGACCGAAATGAAATTGCTGAACTATTCGCCAGTGAATTTGAGACCAATTCAAGTAACGATAACTATCCACCGGACTTTAAGCTTAAGAAAGAAAGCGCAGAGAAAACAAAGTTGGAGTACCACTCTCACGAGTATAATATACTTAATGTACCGATTACAATGCAAGAACTCAAGGATGCCCTAATGTCAAGTAAAAATTCCGCTCCAGGTCCAGACGGTATACCATTAATTTTTTTGTTAAACCTACCAGAAAATGGAAGGTCTTGGCTATTAAAATTGTACAATTTTATTTGGACAAATCAGGTTTTTCCATCCGTATGGTCAGACAGCATTATAATTCCTCTGATCAAACCCAACAAAGACAGAACAAATATAGACTCGTACCGTCCTATATCACTCACTAATGTAGCATGCAAAGTTCTAGAAAAATTATAAACAAAAGACTGATGTGGTACTTAGAACAAGAAAAACTTTTAATTCCTCAGCAAAGCGGCTTCCGTCAAAATAGATCATGCGTAGACAACTTAGTAGATTTAGCGTCAGAGATACACGAAGGTTTGCAAATAATCAAGAGACCATCGCAGTATTCTTCGATATCACCAAGGCATACGACACGGTTTGGAGATTTAATATTATATCAAAACTACACAAATGGGGAATCAGGGGTAATATGCTAAGATTCATAGAAAACTTTCTTCAGTCAAGAGCTTTCTCTGTTCGCGCCGATAATTCCACTTCATCAAAAAAAATTCAGAAAAACGGAACACCTCAGGGGTCAGTTATGAGCCCAACTCTTTTTCTCGTGGCTATCAATGATATACTGGATCACTGCTCCCCGCTAGTTAAGGGAAGACTATATGCCGACGATCTGGTTCTATTTGCAAAGGGCAAGAATATGAGAATGATTCAAAAACACCTACAAGAATCTATTTATAAATTAGAGATATGGTCAATGTCAGTAGGCGTGCAATTCTCCCCACTAAAAACAAAATGCATGCTTTTCTCAAGAAGGCACCGGCCACAGAGAACATCTTTAAAACTGTATGGCGAGCCGCTCAAATTCTCAGAAAAAATTAATTTTCTCGGAATGGTATTTGACCAAAAACTAACATGGAAACAACATATTTTAGAAATAAAAAAGTCTTGCCAAAATGGATTAAATGTAATGAAAACATTATCAAATAAAAAATGGGGATCCGACGAAACCAAGTTATTAAATATTTATAAGTCACTCGTTAGATCAAAAATAGATTATGGGGCTATTGTGTATGCCTCCGCTAAAAAACATGTTACCAAGCAACTTGAAGTCATTCAGAACACAGCACTTCGCATTGCCATAGGTGCATTTAGAATCACACCAGTTAAGAATCTCCAATGCCTCACAGGAGAGCCACCTCTTAATCTACGAAGAAATTATTTATGCCTTTCGTATGCAGCATCAGTCGCTAGCAACAAATTCCACCTAGTATTTCAAAATGCATTTACGGACCGTTACCTAGAAGCTTATAACACAAGTAGGTTCGATCCACCATTCTACGAAAGAGTTCGAAGAAATTTAAAAGATCTACAACTCCAAATTTCTGACCTCTTTTCTTCAAATGTAAAAACTCCACCTCCCTGGTTAATCATGATTCCCGAAATCAATACGACGCTACTCCAATATAAAAAATCAGATACATCACCCACTGTAATCCGACAGTCATATTTAAAGGAACTCGAGACTTACGGGAAAAGCTTTTGCATTTATACAGATGCTCCAAATCTGCAAATGACGTAGGAGCAGCATTTGTCACTCCATATTCCTCTTCCCAATTTAAATTAATGCAGCCACTTCTATATACACAGCAGAATTATATGCAATATTACAAGCCCTCATTCATATCAAAAGTACAAACCATTCTTCTTCCGTCATTATCACAGATTCTCTAAACTCCTTAACAACAATCGGTCAACTATATACTAAGAACCCTATAGCCTTACTTGTCAAGAAAGAACTTGCTGCCTTACAAGAATCTGGTTCAGAAGTCAAATTTATGTGGGTTCCATCTCACACGGGAATACAAGGTAATGAAAACGCAGACCTCAAAGCAAGAGAAGCTACCAAAAATGATCAAGCTATAATAGTGTCAAAGACTATCTGCAGTGATATAAAACAGTTCGTTAAAGAAAAAGTGATTAGTGCGTGGCAAAATAAGTGGAACTTATCGGAATCTAAATTAATAGAAATTAAATCGACAGTGAAACCGTGGCGCCTAGTGAACTTAAAAAGAGCTGACCAAGTCAAAATTTCTCCACTTCGATTAGGTCATACCAATATTACTCATAAGCACCTAATAAGTAAAGAAGACATTCCAGTGTGTGATTACTGTCAAGTCAATATTACTGTTAAACATCTTCTAACAGAATGTGGAAAATATACAGTTAACAGACAAAATAACAATATTTCCAGTGACTTAAAAACAGTATTAGGTGAACATTTAAATACTAAAAAATTAATTAGATTTCTAAAAGAAACATCTTTATATAATTTAATATAATGTAACTAATGTAAACTAATGTCGCTAATGACCCAGGTGGTTGAAGCGACTATTATTAGTAAATAAAAAAAAATTATTAAT